AATAATAAGACTTGAAAGTGGAAATTACTCCTTGATCCGTGAGCTGCAGAATGGATGTTGTGTTAATAGGTGTGAAAACAGCATGAATTACCTTGTATGTTATAGGAGCTCTTGGGTGACTATGTGCATTGTCAGTGAGCAGTGATATTTGGAAAGGAATCTTCTGAGGAGTAAGTCTCAACAGCAGACTTAAAGTATTCAGTGGCCGGGTGTGGTGGTTCACACCTGTAATCCCAGCACTTTGGGAGGCTGAGGTTAGTGGATCACCTGAGGTCAGGAGTTTGAGACCAGCCTGGTCAACGTGGTGAAAACCTGTCTCTACTGAAAATACAAAAATTAGCCTGACATGGTGGCATGTGCCTGTAATCCCAGCTAGTTGGGAGGCTAAGGCAGGAGAATCACATGAACCTGGTGGTAGAGGTTGCAGTAAGCTGAGATTGTGCCACTGCAATCCAGCCTGGGTGACAGAGGGAGACTCCATCTCAAAAAAAAAAAATTAAGTAAAGCATGCTGTAAACAAGTGTGCTGTCATCCAGACTTTGTTATTCCATTTCTAGAATACAGGCAGAGTAGATTTATTGTAATTCTTGAGGGCCCTAGGATTTTCAGAATGGTAAGTGAGCATTGACTTCAATTTAAAGTCAGCAGCTGCATTAGCCCCTAATGATAGTCAACTTGTCCTTTGAAGCTTGGAAGCAGGCATTGACTTCTCTAGAGCTGTGAAAGTCCTAGATGGTGTCTTCCAATAGAAGATTTTCACATACATTGAAAATCTCTTTAGTGTAGCCACCTTCTTGATCTCAGCTGGATCTTTTGGATAACTTGTGGAAGCTTCTACATCAGCACTTGCTGCTTCACCTTGCACTTTTATGTTATAGAGATGGCTTCTTTCTTTAAAACTCATGAACCAACTTCTGCTAGCTTCCAGCTCTTTTTCCTGCAGCTTCTTCACCTCTCTCAGCCTTCAAATAACTGAAGAAAGCCTTTCTTTGGGTTAGGTTTTGGCTTAAGGGGAAGACTGTGGCTAATTTGATGTTCTGTCCAGACCACTAAAGCATTCTTCATATCAGCAATAAAGCTCTTTCACTTGTTCTTGTGTTCACTGAAGTAGCACTTTTAATTTCCTTTAAGAACTTTACCTTTGCATTCATAACTTGGCTGTTTGGTGCAGGAAGCCTCACTTTTGGTCTGTCTCAGCTTTTGACATGACTTACTTATTAAGCTTAATCATTTCTGGCTTTTGGTTTAAAGTGAGACACTTGGCTGGGCATGGTGGCTCATGCCTGTAATCCCAGCACTTTGGGAGGCTGAGGCAAGAGGATAGTTTGAGGCCAGGAGCTCAAGACTAGCCTGGGCAGCATAATGAGATCCTGTCTTTACAAAAAATAAAAAAGTTAACTGGGGTGTGGTGGTGCATGCATGTAGTCCTTCCACCTATTCAGGAAGCTGTGGCAGGAGGATTTCTTGAGCCCAGTAGTTCAAGGAAGCAGTGAGCTCTGATCTGCCATGGCAGGGTTGTCACAAACCTTCAATATGTAAAAACCCCAATATCTGTGAAGTACAATAAAATGAGGCACAGTAAAATGAGGTGTGTGTGTACCTGGGAGTAGAATTGCTGGGTCATATGGTAATTCTATGTTTAACTCTTGAAGAATTGTCAAACTGTTTTACATAGCTGTTGTACCATTTTACATTCCCACCAGCAATGTAGGAGGGTTCCAGTTTCTCCATGTCCTTGTCAACACTTGTTATTCTCCTCTCCTTTAATTAGCTGTCCTAGTGGGTGTGAAGTTTTATCTCATTGTGGTTTTTATTTGGATTTCCCTAATGACTGATATTCAGCATCTTTTAATGTTCTTGTTGGCTGTTTATCTTCTTTGGATAAATGGCTCTTCAAGACATTTGCCCATTTTAAACTTGGACTGGTTTTTCTTTTTAAATTCTAAAAATTATTTATATATTCTGGATACTAGACCCTTGTCAGATATATAGTTTGCAGATATTTTCTTTCCTCCTTTGGATTTTCTTTTGACTTTCTTGATGTCCTTTGATGCAAAAAAAAGTTTTAAATTTTGATGAAGTCCAGTTTATTTTATTTTTGTTGTTGCTCATGCTTTTGGTATTATATCTAAGAATTCATTGCCAATACCAAGTGTAAGATTTATTCTGTATTTTCTTCTAAAAGTTTTCTAGTTTTAGCTCTTAGATTGTTCATCCGTTTTGGGTTAAGTTTTGTATATGGTGTGAGGTAGGGGTCCAGCTTCATTCTGCTATATGTGGATATCCAGTTGTACCAGCACCATTTGTTGAAGAGGCTTTTTTCCCCCACATTGAATGGTATTAGCACCCTTGTTGAAAGCAGTTGACTATAGATGTATGGGTTTGTTTCTGTGTTTTTAATTCTTTTCCACTGATCTGTGTTTATTCTCATGGCAAGTTGATAGTTTTTACCTGTAGTATATTGTAGTATAGAATATTGATTTTTCAAGCTTTGATTACATTGTAAACTTTTTTTTTAAACAAACTTATGGTAAATTTATTAAAGAAATTATTTCCTTTAAAGTGCTAGATATATAAGGACAATAATAACACACAAACTTATTGGATGTTTTTATTTAAAACTTTTTGGTGTGTTTTATAATTTCTCCAACTGCATATGGAATAGTGATGCAGATACATAATATATCAGTGTGCATTGTAATGGAATTTTCACTGTAAGTTAAATTTACTTTGAGCCTCTAAATAAAGAACTAGTTATGTAAATTCATCCTGCCGAAAGATACAATGGTGCCAGCTATGGATGTACCAGAATAGGAACAGCTGTCTGGTGTAGATTTGGACTAAGCATCACCCAGAAAGGAATCACGTATCTGTAGTCTCTAGAGAAACAAAGCTTGGCACCTAATGTTTTTTAAACTTTAATCAGTATAACAAAAGTTACAGTACTTTAGGACCAGAATATGATATACCTGTTTAGTCTACTTTAATCTATAATGTCTCATTTTCTCTTTTTTCCTGTAATAATTTATTTGCTAAAGAAACTGTTTTTCTTGCTCTTTTGTTTCTTATAGTCTGACTTTGGCTGATTGAATTCCTTTAGTGCAGTTTAGCATGTTCCTCTGTGTTCTGTATCTCCTGTAGATTGGTAGTTGGATATAGAGGGGATCTAAAAAACATTTTTTCTTTTTTTTTTTTAAATTTTTTATTGGATTTTAGGTTTTGGGGTACATGAGCAGAGCATGCAAGACAGTTGCGTAGGTACACACATGGCAGTGTGCTTTGCTTTGCTTCTCCCCTTCACCCACATTTGGCATTTCTCCCCAGGCTATCCCTCCCCACCTCCCCCTCCCACTGGCCCTCCCCTTTTCCCCCCAGTAGACCCCAGTGTTTAGTACTCCCCTTTCTGTGTCCATGTGTTCTCATTTTTCATCACCCGCCTATGAGTGAGAATATGCGGTGTTTCATTTTCTGTTCTTGTGTCAGTTTGCTGAGGATGATGTTCTCCAGATTCATCCATGTCCCTACAAACGACACAAACTCATCATTTCTGATTGCTGCATAATATTCTATGGTGTATATGTGCCACATTTTTCCAATCCAGTCTATTATCAATGGGCATTTGGGTTGATTCCAGGTCTTTGCTATTGTAAACAGTGCTGCAATGAACATTCGTGTACATGTGTCCTTATAGTAGAACGATTTATAGTCTTTTGGATATATACCCAGTAATGGGATTGCTGGGTCAAATGGAATTTCTATTTCTAAGGCCTTGAGGAATCGCCAGACTGTCTTCCACAATGGTTGAACTAATTTACACTCCCACCAACAGTGTAAAAGTGTTCCTTTTTCTCCACATCCTCTCCAGCATCTGTTGTCTCCAGATTTTTTAATGATTGCCATTCTAACTGGCGTGTTTCTATAACAAGAAAAAATGTTTTTTAGATCCCCTCTATATCCAGCTACCAATGTTTGTGTCTTCCACCAGGAGGCACATCATACCTGCTTATCTCTCTTTCCACTATGTTAACTAAGTTTAATTAATTTGATTCACTTTAATTTTAACAATTCAGGGTTTTTAGAGAGAGAGGATGGTTTAGAGCATAAGAGCTCCAGAATGCAGTAGTCTGGATTCAGGCTTTGACTCTGGCCTACTAGTTTTGGAATTTTGGAAAGTCACTTCCCTTCTATGTTAAATTCCTTATCTGCTGGGGTGGTGATGCCTACTCCTAGGATTGTTCAGATTAGAAGAGATAATGCAGGCCGGGCGTGGTGGCTCAAGCCTGTAATCCCAGCACTTTGGGAGGCCGAGGTGGGTGAATCACGAGGTCAACAGATCGAGACCATCTTGGTCAACATGGTGAAACCCGGTCTCTACTAAAATTACAAAAAGCTGGGCACGGTGGTGTGTGCCTGTAATCCCAGCTGCTCGGGAGGCTGAGGCAGGAGAATTGCCTGAACCCAGGAGGCGGAGGTTGCGGTGAGCCAAGATCGTGCCATTGCACTCCAGCCTGGGTAACAAGAGCGAAACTCCGTCTCAAAAAAAAAAAAAAAAAAAAAAGAAGAGATAATACAGGAAAAAGAACCTTGCACAGAGCCTGGCATGTAGCAGGTGGTCACTAAACGTTAACTGTTATTGTTTTGTGAATTTAAACACTTCTAAAGTAATCTAAAGGATAGAGTATCTCCAGGAAATGAAAATTTGGATAGCTGTTTTTTTTTTTTTTTTTTTGGCTCCCCTGGGGTTTTTTAGGGAAAAAGTAGGTAAGTTATTCAACTGAGGCGAAGTAGCTCTCCACTGTCCCCATCAAAGTAAGGAGTTACTGTGGTAACCACGATTCATGTAAATAGTTACTGTAGTAACCACAATTCATAACTTAATTTCAAAAGGGATTTTTGCCAGTGCTTCAGATGTTGGTGTTGTGTTCATTTTAATTGGCCCTACCTAATGTTGGCAAGTTCTGTTTCATAGGGAGCTTACTGTTAATATTTTTATTTTACAGTGTAATGTTCAAGCTTAGAAATGCCTTATGTGGATCGTCAGAATCGCATTTGTGGTTTTCTAGACATTGAAGAAAATGAAAACAGTGGGAAATTTCTTCGAAGGTACTTCATACTGGATACCAGAGAAGATAGTTTCGTGTGGTACATGGATAATCCACAGGTTTGTAAAATTCCAAGGATTACCTTTTAAAAGCATAGAAAGTTGTATTTAAGTATTTGACATACTGTACAGATTTTAGAATTTGTCTTCTTAAACAGTATATTTTTATATTTATTTCCACTGGCTGTACTCTCCGCTCTGCACCCCTGACCTCTGCCATCTTGTTTGAATTTCAGAAGGTGAAACAGTTTATTTGATAAGAATTAATGCTTTTGTATATATTTTTTCCTCGAGAGAGAAATGCTCTCTCTGATAGAAAATTAGGTTTTAGGAAATTAGATCTTGAGTCACAGAAAAAAATAATAATTGAAGCTGTCCCCAAAATAAGAAATTTTTTTTTGTAATGTGTATTTTAAACAATAGCTAAAATAAAGACCCGGGATAGATGATTTAGATGATTCTCTTGCATTAAGGAGACTTAATACCAAGGTCCCTTTAATGAGATTAAATTTAGGTTTAAGATGCTGTATCTAGGATAGAGACTCTGTGTGTGTGTGGTGGGGGGGGTGGGTTGTGTGCACGCGCGTGCGCATGTGTGTTTTGAGACATAGTCTCGCTCTGTCACTCAGGCTGGAGTGCACTGGCTTGATCTTGGCTCACTGCAATCTTTCACTTCCCAATTCGAGCAATTCTCCTGCCTCAGCCTCCCCGAGTAGCTGGGACTACAGGCGTGTGCCACCACACCCGGCTAATTTTTTGTATTTTTAATAGCGACGGAGTTTCACCATGTTGGCCAGGATGGTCTCGATCTTCTGACTTTGTGATCCTCCCACCTTGGCCTCCCAAAGTGCTGGGATTGCAGACATGAGCCATCATGCCCAGCCAGACTGTTATTTTTTAATAAATAAATGACTTAACTAGTTGATACCCTTACACATTTGTAGTCCTTTCATTTTGTAGTGTTGGATTTGAGTCAATCATTGTCATGCCAACCATGAACTGAAATGCATTTTGATTTTATTGCTGCCTTGCAAAACATAGCGGTAAATGTTGTAATTTAAAAATTAGAATCTCAGTTTTAAGATCTGTAAGGGGCCTGAGATTAGATATCATCTGTGGAGTAGTTTTAAACTTTCAACTTTCTCTACCTTGGAACTTTTTTTTTGAGAGATGGAGTCTCACCCAGGCTGGAGTGCAGCAGTATGATTTTGGCTCACTGCAACCTCTGCCTCCCAGGTTCAAGTGATTCTCATGCCTCAGCCTCCCCAGTTTCTGGGGCTACAGACATGTGCCACCATGAGGCATGGCTAATTTTTTGTATTTGTAGTAGAGACAGGGTTTCGCCATGTTGGCCAGGCTGGTCTTGAACTCCTGACCTCAGGTGATCCTCCCACTTCGGCCTCCCAAAGTGCTACAGGCATGAGCCCCTGCACCCAGCCTTTTAGAACTTTTTGTCTTCAGATAAAAATTATTGTAAAAGTTAAAAATGGTGCTGTATGTTGCAGGGAAGTATGTGCAAAACAAGGGATGAATCTCTAGCAGACTTTTAAGCTAATTTTTGTCCAGTAGGCTTCTTCTGTGGGTGAGGAATGGAAGGTCTAGGGAAGAGCAGAGACTTATATAAGGTTCTGCTCTGTTTCACAGAGCAAGAACTAGGTCTCTTGATAACTAGTACAGTATTCTTCACTATATACTGATTTTAGATTAGACAAGATACAGATATACTTGTGTTTATGTTTATGTAGAATTTGAGTTGTAAGGGAACTCTCCTCACCCATATGAGCCATTGTACAGTTCTGCCTGTTATCTCTCCCTGATTTTTCTCTCTCTTCACACCGTCTGGTTGACATCTATATGGTTTCTCCTGAATTTTACTTGAAACTCCTTGATTATTTTTCTGTGTTCCTACATAATAGATTCTTCTTATCAGTCTTCTTTATCAGTACTACCCCTTTAACAGAGCTAAAAGGAATTAAGTACAAAATAGAATATATTTATTACCCTGAATAAGACATGAACTTGGAATTCAGAGAAAGGTTATACAGCCAGTAGAAGGAGTTGAAGTCTTCATGGAAGTGGTAACATTTGAAATAGACTTAGAAGTTTGGATATAATGACTAAGAGATGGAAAAGTGAGTATTCTGGTGCTCAAAGAATAGTGTGGGCAGGCAGAGATCAAAGCAGGAGAGCCAGTGACGTACTTGGAGACTAGATCATTTTGCCTATAGCAGGGGGAGTATTTGTTAGGTTTGCACTCAGCTAGGTCTTATCTACATGAACTTTTAAAAGCTAGATCTCTATGTTGGAATTAATGCAATAGCTTTTCTGGACATAGTGCTGATTTTTTTAAGTGCAGAATTTCAAATCTTTTTCAGTTCGTTCTTAATTTTATATCTTCTTTCCAACTTAGGAAATCTTGATTCTGCCAGGCAGTGTATTAACCATTAGTACCAACTTTGTGTCACTTTTAAATGTAATAATCAAGACATACCTACTCATGAAAACTTTAGTAAAATGTCTTGCTAAGATTATGTTATTTTCTTTCTTTACCAAGGTTGTTATGATCAGTGTAACCATGTTATTGCACCTTGACATAAAGCAATTAGATCGAACCATATGAAATTGCTAATATACAACCATTTTGAATTACTAAAAAAATGGTAATTTTGTATGTTCAATCTAGTTGCTTATGTCAAAGTACAGTAACATGGTTATACAGCTTGGTATAGAAAGAAAATGTTTGATCCATCTGTTATTAGGGAACCACTTTTTCCTCTGACCACTGCTTCATTTACCACTAACCATTGGTTTAAAAATTCATTCTGTTGTTTATTAGGGATCACTTTGAGGCTTTCTGTGCTTTGTCAAGGAGGTTGGTAATGATGGAGAAGGGAATAATTAAGTAGCTGTACGAATCTGAAGAGATTTAAACAAGTATTTGGCAAAATGAGTTTAGGAACTCATAATCAACAAATGGCCTGTTTTCCTTTTTTTCTTAAATGTTGTATTAGTTTATTATTTCTTGCTCATTGTCAAGTAACATATTTTGAATCTCTCTTTTTTTTTGTTCCAGTCCAACTTGATGGTAATCATTCTAGTCCATAGAGACTGGATATTTTGAATATTATTTTTGTCTCAGCTACTTACCTTTCCCTGTAGTGTGCTATTATTACCGTGACACTGTATGTCATGTTTTGCTGTCTCATTTCTCCTCCTTCCACAAAGGCCTTGAGCTCTATTCAGCAGTTAAAATAATAGGCTCATGGAACACTTAGAAGAAATAAATTATTACCCTTGAATGGAAGGGTAACAGTTTTTGAAATAATCACTTTGGTAGTAGTTAAAGATTCTTCAAGATATATTTACATTTCTTTACCTTCTCTAAGATTAACCAAAAACCCATAAATATAAAACATTATATATAAGAATACAAATAGCTTTTTAATGTTATATATTAATTATAATTTTATGTACATATTTACTATTTATTATTTGTATTTGGAAGCTTGTACATAGTATATAGTTTAAAGCAGAACATAATTAATGCAGTTTTACAGTATATACGCATGAAAGTTTTTAAAAGATGTGTCCCTGTCAACAATAAGCAGTTCATGTTTGGGAATCTTAAGACTTTGAAATGTCTAGGCTTCCAGTTACCTCCTTATCAATTCATTAGAACAAGCCCATAGATTTTTTTTTGAGTACATTATTATAAAGTCAGTTGAAAAGTTGATCCTGCCTAATCTCCAGCAGAAGTAATTTTCAAAATCAACTGAAACTAATGTTTCATTTTTACTTCTGAAATCCATCAGTCTTTTCATTTATATGTTTTGTTTCTTTTCCCCAGATTATTCTGTCTGGTTTTCCTACCTCTACCTCCTCCTCTATAATCCATTCAGTTTATGATAAGATGTATTAATTAAAGCATAATTTTGATTCCAGATTTGCTCATAGCCTTCTTCTTTGGATTAAATTCTCTACAATATAAATTCTTTGCTACTTTGTTTTTTATTTAGGTCCTCTATGATTAGGTTCTTAGTTCAAGTTTTCAGACCTCCATTTTGTACTACAGTCTTACAGGGCACTACGTTACATACAGCCCAACACAGCTGCTCTCTCATTCTAGTACAGAGCTTCTGTGCATCTTCAACTGCTTGCCATAGTTTCTCTGTTTTCTCTGCTTGGAATATTCTCCCCTGCTTTTGTGTTTCAAAATTTTCCTTACCCTCCAGCCTAAATGTTGTTCATTCCTTCAATTTTTCTGGGTAGTTTCAACCAGAGATGATTCTCCCCTAATTCTTCACCTTTAACTCTTTTGTGATGCAAACTACATCTGTAACTTAAGGGAAGAATGAAAATGCTGTGTGTGAAAGTGCCTACATCCCCTGCATATGATGTAAAGAGAAGCAAACATTTTTTTGGAAAAAAAGAATGTAGATTAATATGGCATAACACACTAAACCATTTAATGGGGGGAAATGCTGTCCGTTTTTGTTAAGAGATATTTGATAAACAAGTTTTAATAGAACAAAGCAATATGTATAGTCTTTTAAAGTATCTTACAATTATATTTGTTTTATGCCTCTGAATATTTTCCCATTGCTTTCAGAAACAAAATCTGATCTTGTTTATGGCATTTTAAGCTCACAAAAAGATCATTAGTTTAGCTTCAGTAATAAAAATAGCCTTCTAGTCATAGAATGTATCATGATGGAACAGAGTAGGATTCAGTTTTGTTATCCAAGCTGTGGACCTGATGCCAGATCTAGTAAAAACTTGAACAGAAGAAAAGTTGATTTGTAAAATGTGATATTAAACAATTGAGTTTTTTAACTTGTCAGAAGTGTATGTGCAACATTATATTATAAAATGAATTCATAATATTGGATACTAATTATATATTAATAATTTGTTTCTAGAACCTACCTTCTGGATCATCACGTGTTGGAGCCATTAAACTTACCTACATTTCAAAGGTAGTCTTTATTATACATTGTCTTCTATTCATGTGTGAATTAAAATCCCTGGGAATGAGAGTATGAATAGAAGCAGCAGTTACCTTTCTGTGTCCTTTAACAGTGATGTTCAGATTTCTGTCATGCTGAAACAGTACCTGGTTACTATGTTTAGGAAATTCTTTAAATCGATACGATTATGAAGAATATGATTTTAACTTACAGTATGTGGCAAATTGCAAAAGTTAACTTGTTTTTTTTTTTTTTTTGAGACAGAGTCTCACTCCGTCACCAGGCACCAGGCTGGAGTGCAGTGGCGTGACCTCGGCTAACTGCAACCTCTGCCTTCCAGGTTCAAGCAATTCTCCTGCCTCAGCCTCCCAAGTAGCTGGGACTATAGGCACGCACCACCATGCCCAGCTATTTTTTTTTTTTTTTTTTTTTGTATTTTTAGTAGAGATGGGGTTTCACCATGTTGGCCAGGATGGTCTTGATCTCTTGACCTCGTGATCCGCCTGACTTGGCCTCCCAAAGTGCTGGTATAACGTTAACTTTTATGATCAGATATATGAACATCAGAAAGGGAGAAATCAGTGAAAAGATTAAGTTCTGCCTTGAGAAGGTCTGGAGATTTTTGTAAGTCTGTATTATGTTTGTTTAGACTGTTTCTAACTTTTAAATCCCCTTGCCTTTGATACTTTGTTTCTTAATGTTTTATTTTGAGGAAAATATGGACCATTTTTTATTTTGAAAGATTGGTTTCTTCTCCCTCTTTTCACTTTGTGTCTTTTAATTTCTGTTTTCTTCGTTGTTTTTTTGGTAGTTTTACAATGCTATTTTTTTTAATTTTTAAATAAAAAATGTTGATTTTATATTCGTCAGGTACCTTTTTTTTTGTATTTTCTTTTATTAATGTTTAGGGAACTAAGAAATGCTGAGGTGCTAGCCGTGTGTGTGCGTGTGTGTGTGTGTGTGTGTGTGTGTGTTTTACATAAAGGCAATAAAAGTTTGTTGATGACTTAAAATATGAGATGCAAAAGGTAACAATACAATATTATTAAATAATATCGGTACTATTATGCATATACTGAGATCCATTGGCATAGGTAGATCACTTCAACAGAAGACCAATTTACAAATGTGCCTCTGTTTACAAGACAGATGTTATAAAAAAAAAAGTATTTTATATCAGTATTACAATAGAGATATTCATTCTTACTGACCAAAAAGAAGAGAAAAGTAATTAGCCCTTGGACAATAAAATTACATATTTAAAAGGAAACATTTTCCTGTTAAAATCATATGAGGTAAATTTACATATGACAAATATTGTATGGAAGCTCTTTCTTAAGTCAAGTATTAACTCAGTAAAGTAGGCAGGGTGACTGGCCCCCTGCTTTCCCCTCCTCCATTGCTCTTCTTTTAAAAAGTAACTTTTTTTCTGTGCAGTTCTGTTAACTTTCATCTTGTCCTGCCCCTTACCAAAGTTTAAATTGTGCAGTTTGTACTCTACTTTCGATATACCAGTTTTTTTTCCAAAAAAAATTTATTCAAAAAATTTCTAGAACAAACTTGTGTGTGATTCAGAACTATGAGTTTGTAGTTGGGATCAGTGAGGAACCCCAGACTTAGAATTCCTTTTGTAGGTACAAAACAGATGCTACAGTTATGAGTTCTCTCACTGGACAACAGCATGACAATAGTGAATGAGCTTCTGGGAGCTGCTCTATTTAAAGGGATAGCAGCAACCAAGTGTAGCTAGTTGCCTCATTTTGTAAAATGAACCATGAGCTGCACTTAATAAAGTGATCCCATTATCCTAGGGTATTCCCCTGTGCAAGAGGGGATCTGGTACCATTTTGATCTCCTCATAGCAGAGTAATGCCTTAATTAATTATTAAAATTAAGATTAATTCAGTTAAATGCCTGGATTTGTGGACTTTAAATATAAAGTGTCCCCTTTACCCATCCCTATTTTTGCTTAAAAATCAGCTGATTAAAAAATACGTTATTTGGGAAGAATTCAGTTCTTGTAGAATATTCATTGAGGATATTTTGAAAATTACATTAAAAATACTTGTATGTGTGACATAAAGCCTAAGAGAAAACAAGTTTGTTCAGAGAAAATATGGAAGTATTATTTATTACCTCTTACAGTTGGGAACTGCATCCTATGTATTGAATTTGCCATTCTTTTTCAGTTGTCTTTAAAGTTTAATTTTAAATCTATTGGCTAAATGTGTATAATTATTGGGAAATCATACATATGGAAGTTTTGGCTTTAGGTTTATATGAAGAAGTGAGGAACCATCTGTCTCTGTTTTTCCTTTAGGTTAGCGATGCTACTAAGCTGAGGCCAAAGGCTGAGTTCTGTTTTGGTGAGTAGCCATGTTATATGTATTTTAAATTAGACTGGCATAATTGTATCATATTGCAAAAGAAAACTCTTGCAGAAAACCACACAAAACCTGTGGCTTACTGAATTATTCTAAGGTGAATTCCCTTGTAACCACTATACAGATAAGGAAATAACATTTTTCACCCATTCTCCTCCCAACCCTGAAGCCTCTTTCCTGTGTCCCATCCTAATTACAACCACCTTCTTCTACCCATATGTAACTGTTATTTTGTGATTTATAATGATCACCTCCAGTGAGATTTCAGGTAATTTTAAACTTTCTACCTTGTGTTATTTTCCATTAAACATATAAATAATTAAAAGGATTTGGTCTTTAGCTTGTGGGTAGTGAGAAATGTAGTTTGGGGTTGGAGTAGTCGAGGGCATTGGATTAACTTACTCAGAAAATGTTTACTGTATGCCAGGCACTGTGCTTGGCACTGGGGCTGTAAGATGAATAAGAGGCAGTTGCTGCCCTTAAGGCTGGTTGTCTCATAGATAAAAATACCAGACAATTATTATTTCATTTCTCATAACCTGTAGATAAAGGGATATGTGATCTATTAAAGAAGCACAGAAAAAGACCTTCAAATCTTTGTGGGGAGCTCAGGAGTCGGGGAGCCTCCCTAGAGGAGGAGATGCTTACACTGGTGGCCAACTAGACTCCTGCTTATATCCTTTATTGTGCAGAGAAAAGGCAGGAGGACTACATGCACAGAGGCTTGTAGGGAGAAGAGTGTGGTGTCTCTGGAGCTGAACACTCTGAAGCTGGAGGGTATGATGAGTCGCTAGAGAGTTAAAAAGGCAGGCAGAAGCCAGGGTGCTGTGTTTTGATGAGTGATAGTTTTTATTACTTTGAAAAAGGGAGAAGAGAAAGAGAGCATCTGGAAAGCAGACATAAGGTGAAGGAGGTTTGTTTTTTTTTGTATGGATAGGAAAGTTTTCATGTAGGTAGACTGGGTAAGTGGCTTTTGAACTACTGTACTTATAAAAGGTCCTGAGTTAGAGTGGTGGCAATGGGAGAAGGAGGAATGGTGAAAAGAAGGAAAAGTACAGGGACTTGGTGGATATGGGTGAATTGGAGGGAAGAGAGAGGTAGCAGGGAAGTTTGCTTAAAGCAGTGACAAGTCAGGGAGAGCTGTTTACATAGCATAAAATGTTTGCTCAGGGGTTGAAATGATGGGGAACTTCCAATGTTCTGTTGACAGTAATTGAGGACTGGATGGAGCTTGAGGATCAAGACTGGAGACATTTGGAGTGTTAAGAAGGGAGTCATAGTTGAAGCTAGGAGAACTGATGTCCTCTCAGTATGTTAGTGGACATTAGTGACTGAAGGACCAAATATTTGGAGTGGCCAACTAACATCACAAGGGATACATTACAGTGAGAAAGATACTTTTGGGGGTAGAATTGAAGTTTTTTGCTCTGTTGCTTGAAAAGGGCAGGTTTCTTTAGTCACTAGTTGGGAATAGCATCTTAATATGAGCAAGATGAAATGTGGCTGTCAAGGGAATCCTCTGAAATGCTTTTATCCCACTATGAAGCTATTTTTAAAAGTTACATGTTTATTACTTGTTATAATTTTGGTTATAGAAAGATGCCTCAGAGCCTTGTAAATGAATGGGTATTGCAAGTCAAATTAACTGAGGACTTTGTATTTCAGAATGTATAATGTTCATACCTTCGACAATCCTTTTTTTTAAAAAAAAATCTCAAACTTACAGAAATAATAATATACCATAATAGCTTTGACATTCATGCTTATTGGGGTATTTAGAATGGGTGATTTTAGTTGGAATAAAAAATTAAGATGAGTCGTTCATTGGTCAGTCAGTAGCTGTTCTCTATTACCAATGGGAGTAAAGATTCATGAAATGCTTACCTTTAGAGAGAGAGGCACTGGCTTCTAAAATAGCACAACTTTCATTCAGAATGTCAATATATCTTCTCTCAAATTGTCCCAAACCAGTGAGAACAAGAAACACTCAAGCCATTTTTGATGGAGGGAGCAGACTATTCGTAACCCTCAGTGTGTAAAGTTGAAAAGTAGATAGAGGAATGGTAGATAATTTAGCAGAGTAGAGGAAGAGGCCAATGAAAAGCTCACCATTTAAGTGTTCTGCTGCCAAGCCAACTCCAGATAGGCTTAGATATAGGAGATTCATTTTTCTGGCAAGCAGCAGTAAGGAAGGACCAAAAACAGGGACTTTGTTTGCCTGTCTATATCAGAAACAACCTCTGTTCCCTACCTCCATCTAGGTTGATCAGGCAGACACCTTTCCCCTGTCCCAGCAGGAAATGGGATGTGTGGTGTCTCCAGAAGTAGAATCAGTGAGGCTCTATACTTAGGGGCGCTAGTCCCGAAGAGGGAAAGGAATGAAGCATGAAACTGAAAATGGGAGGATTAAATGAAAGTCTGCACACTGAATGCAACCCCAGCCCCAGAGCACTGGGCAGCCAGGTTTAGGTGAGTAAGATCCGAATACACTGGAGGAAAGATCCATAGATACTGACTGATATCCGGGCATTTCTGCTGAAAGAGCTTGCTGTAGTTGACTAGTGAGGTCCACAGTCAGCAGCCCTGCAACAACCCAAGAGAGCTTCTCATCGGTCTTTTTAGCACTTTCTTTTAAAATACGAATAGACAGCCCAGGATTACTGAACATATGTTGAGAGAGAGGATTATCAAACAGGAGAAGGTACATGAGACAATGCAAAACTCAGCAGAAAAAGTCACAGAAATCTGAAAGTAGAACAAAGGTCAAGATAGATAATGGAATAGAGATAAAAAACATCAGGGAAGTTCAACATCTGATAGAGACCGAGAGGACAGATAAAGTACTGAATAGAGAAAACAGATTGGGGAAAATTGACCAAAAAAAAAGATACTGTAGAATCTCTTGATCCAAAACTATGTATCCATAACCAGTTGATCTCAGGTTGTGAGATGATTTTTGTTTGCAGTTAAGCTAATGTTTATGCTTCAAGTTTTATCCATTTTATTTGTTCTTTCTTATCATAAAGATTTGAAATAAAATAAATACCCAAGTGGAAAAGGTAGGAAGGCTACAGGCCTCTAGGTATGCATTTATTATTCACAGTGAAATCCATGCTTTAGAAACATGACAACTTATCAGTGTCAAAGTTTTGTTTTTTTAATTGTTCGACGTTTTTTCGTTCTTTCCCTTTCTCCCCTCCCCAACAGTATTGCTAATATGCCACATTTCAGTAACTTGCTTTACTTTTTTTTTTTTTTCTTTTGAGATGGAGCCTCACTCTGTCCCCCAGGCTGGAGTGCAGTGGTGAACCTGGGAGGCTGGTTGCTCCACTCACTGCAACCTCCGCCTCCCAGGTTCAAGTGATTCTCCTGTCTTAGTCTCCTAAGTAGCTGGGATTACAGGTGTCTGCCACCACACCCAGCTAATTTTTGTGTTTTGAGTACAGACAGGGTTTCACCCTGTTGGCCAGGCTGGTCTCGAACTCCTGACCTCAAGTGGTCTACCCACCATGGCCTCCCGAAGTGCTGAGATTACAGGTGTGAGCCACCGTGCCCTGCTTTACATTTTTTACAGTGCTTCCCTACTTCTTAGAAATCTCCAGATGATGACAGTGAAGAACATTTTGTACCAAGCACTGTGTTAATTTCTTTACATATATGATTGATACCCCTTAAAGAAGTGGAATGAGTGGCATTCGCATTTCATAGGTGAGGAATATTGGGCTGAGAGAAATTAAGTAATGTTTGTAAGATAATATTGCTTGTAAGTGCATAAGCTAGTCAGGTTGGACTGATTCCAGGCTGATTTTTTTTCTATATCATACCTATATAGCTACATCTTGCCATGAAATAGTTCTTAAAGTACATGAAATTTTATTCGGATTGCAAGGTATACTAGGAATCTTTTTTAGATACATATTTACATGTCTTCCCTCCCTTAGAAGAGATCCTTATATAAATATGATTTATTCAAAAATATATGTATTAAGCATTTACTGTGTACCAAGTGTAGTATATTAATAAGTGCATAGATTTTTAAACTCTTACGATATTCTGGGCAGATGCCCAAAATAACATTGAGGGGAAGAAGCCATTATGAAGAGAGCTCAGCTTCAGCCTAAGCTGAAAAAAGATGATGAAAGGAAGCCTTACTGATGACTGGAAATTAAAAACAGAAGTTACTTATTGATATATATAGCATCCTAGTGAGTTATGGATTTATCTTAATACATATTTATGGCATTTATAACTTCTCCAGTCTCTATAAAGATATACAAGAACAGATTTACATTGTGTTAAATTTCTTTTAAGGTTTTAGGCTGGTTGTTTTGTAGCGCTCTGCAAGATAGACTTTGACTTCCTTTCTAAGACCTTCATCTCAATTCAAGGAAGCTGTAGTTTAGAGTGTCTTGGTCTCAGTTCCAATTTCAAAATCTTGTGTGTTTTCCTTAAGAGCTTGCATTTCCCCCTTCTCTTAGTCACATTCAGCTGTATGCTAGTATATCTTTTAATATTTTGGTGGAGACTTTTGGAAGTCATTTTTATATTTGAACAATTGCAGCCGTATAACTATTCAGATACTTAGCTCCTAGAATAATATTTATGCTTTTAAAAATAAGTGCATATGGTGTATAATAAATAGCTTTAATTCAAGAGTGAAATGTGATAGTTTGTAGACAACTGTATGTGCACATGTCCTTTGCTTTATACGAGTACATAGTCCCTAAAGGGGTATATATAAACTAAATTGCATAAAAGTTCCAAATGTATTAAGATTTAAAGTATAAAGGAAATTCATAAGGTCTAGAAAAACAAATCTTAAGTTAGGGAGATTTTCTAGATGATATGAAATCTGGACGCATTTATAGGAAAGATTCATAATATATTTCTGTCTGATCAAAAATACTGTTAAAGTAAAAAAAAATGACAGACTAGGAAAAGTACTGGTAATAAAGCAGAACAGATTAATATCGAAGTTGTATAAATTAATACTAAATGAACAATTCAGGAGAAATATGGGCAAAGAAAGTAAAACTCATAAGATATTTGTGAGTTTTGGCTAATAAACATCTCAATAACCAAAGAAATGAAAATTTGAACAAGGTACAATTATTTACCAATGAGGTTGTTAAAGAGTATTAGGAAAACACCACACTAGGTATTTCAAACTCAAGGGATTTGTTACAAGGAATTGGTTACCCAAATGTTGGAAGGCTGAAAGAACATGAAGGGAATGCTGAAGTAACCCAGAAATTAGGAACTGCAGGAAGCAACTACTGTTCAAGGGCTAGAGAGACAACAGGGAAGAGACAGTAGTATTACTATAACCTAGGGCAGTGGAGGAGAGGCCACCATGGAGCTATTGGTATCCAGGAGGACTCTGCAAGGCTAGTGTAGTGGGGCAGGAAAAGGCCCCCTACGGTAGCTGGTTTTGTGCTGCTGTTGGAGAGAGGTCAACAATAGCAGGAATCAAGGAGAGACTCCTCTTTCTTTCTTCCCCTGCCACCTTACAGTCTCTCATCAGATTGGCAGAGAATGGCCTTAGCTGGGGTCTAGGAAATATTGCTTGCAGATTGTCAGCCCCAATGCTACAGAGCCTTTGAAAACTAGAAACTAGAGGTATCCACAGGTGCTGATAACCAGTTCTGGGGAGGGGTTTTAGATGAAATAAACCTTTGCGTATGTGGTTGGTAGGATTATGAATGGATTCAGCTTTCTGGGAAGATGATTTGGAAATACCTATAAAAATTTTAAATGTCAGTTTTCTTTGATTCAACAGATCTATGTCAAGAAATTTGTTCCCCAGAAATGCTAGCCAAGTTTGGAGAAATATATGTATATGATGTTTCACTGTGTTATTTTATATAATTTCAAAAACTGGAACTAGCCTAAGAGTCTATCATTAGGGGATTGACTGAATATATTGTGGTGTATTCATTTAATGAAAAACATGGCCATGACAAAATAAGAGTTTTACCTGTGTTATTGTGTGATGAAAGCAGTGTTATATGTGGTCTGATATATTTTGTCGAATCCACAAGAGTCATGGTGTTGAACCTAACAAGGTTTTTCAGCTACTGCAGAAATAAATTTAGAGGTAATAAGTACAGTATTTGGTGAGCTATTTTTTTCTGTCAACAGTTATGAATGCAGGAATGAGGAAGTACTTCCTACAAGCCAATGATCAGCAGGACCTAGTGGAATGGGTAAATGTGTTAAACAAAGCTATAAAAATTACAGTAAGTATATTTATTGTTTTGAAAAAACATTCAGTGTCTGGAATTAATCTTTTCATTTTGAAAATACATCTACCAAAGGTTCCCAGCTTACCAATAGGTTTCATACACAAACTTTGTTTAAAAGGCAGGGGTTCAGAATTTGAATATTTTTCTTGTACTTGGTGACTGTTGGCCCTTTAATCAGCCCATGGTTGCCTTTTTAACCTATTATATACCTAATAAGGAGATAAATTACTGCAGATCTTAATCACTGCTTACAACGTTTCTAGGAGAAAATGCACTTAGCACATAGAGTTCTACCCGGAGGATATATTTTTTTTCTTCTAGTATAGTGTAAGAGATTTCCTGCCACCTACCTGGGGAATAGGCACTTCTCTCTTCTAAGCCATGACTGGGATTGGGGTCAGATAGGGAAGGAGTTGAAGACAGGAGCAGGACAAGGGGAGACGAAGGCTGAAAAATGAGGACAGGGATAGGGATTGGGTTTGAAGGGTTGTGGCAGCCAGAGGGTCCTACCCATGTGACCCTTGAAAAATTTGTCTTAAGCTCTAAACTTCCCATGTCCGAATTTTTTCCTTCCGTTGCAGGGCTTGGTACCCTTGCCCTCCTTTCCCATGCTACAATTTCTTGCTTCTAACGTGTGCTTCTCTTCGTTTTTGCTTTTCTGATGAATATTTATTGATTACACTGTACCAGATCTTAGACCGAAGGTTTTACCTAAATTAACTGGAAAAGTGAGACTTAGAAAGATTAATGGCTTTTTACAGGTTTTATAGCTGGTAGACTATGGAGTTGGAAGCCCAGTCCAGTTTGTTGGGCTCTTGAGCCCGAACTCTAAAGAACAGTGCCTTACTGCTTCCTGCCCTCTCCTTCTTCTTTTTTTTTTTTTTTTTTTTTTTTTAATTTTTTATTGGATTATAGGTTTTGGGGTACATGAGCAGAGCATGCAAGACAGTTGCGTAGGTACACACATGGCAGTGTGCTTTCTTTTCTTCTCCCCTTCACCCACATTTGGCATTTCTCCCCAGGCTATCCCTCCCCACCTCCCCCTCCCACTGGCCCTCCCCTTTTCCCCCAATAGACCCCAGTGTTTAGTACTCCCCTTCTGTGTCCATGTGTTCTCATTTTTCATCACCCACCAATGAGTGACTTCCTAAAGCCAAAAACCTTTACGGAGAGTTTGCTAATGATAATGAGCAGCAAGTAGATAGGCTCTAATTTGATTGTATCTTGCCTCACCTTTCCCTTTACACTTTCATAGAGAAATACATCATAGTCCTGGCTGGAAAATATTGGGAAGGAATTCTTGTGTTGTGAGATTTGTGTTGATTTTGGTGTTTTCTTTTTAATACAGTGCAGTTATTTACTGACCCTAAGTGACATATTCTCAAAGAACATGTGCCCTGAAAGTCAGCATATGTTAGTTACTTGTTAGTTTTCATCTAAAATGAATAATTTTGTATTTATATCACAACACAAGAAAGAGTCAGTATAGTTAAAGCTGTTCTCAGAGTTAAGTCAAATTTTTTTGTTTTGTACTAGAACAGCTTGTTAGCACATGACAGAAAACGCCTACGCGCTGCATCTGATCTGTACTTGAAGCAGAAGTTATTTTAGGTTTGTGCAGTTTCAGGAAAGCAGTTTTTTGAACTGATTCAGACATATGTGCTTTTAAAAGCTTTTAGCTAATCATTTTAACTCTTTTAATAAATATTCTCTGCTTGAAAAAATTCTTTAGAAAGATAATATCTCATAACTTTACTAAATTAATTCTTGTTTTTACAATTTATAATACAAGCAGCACACTGGTTTCTTAGTGCTTTACAAGAAAATGGAGTGAATGGTCTCAGGCTTTTTACCATTTTGCGGGGTCTTGAATTGCTATGTCTAATTGATCAATGGTATGAAACAGTCTTATACAAATGATAGTTAAGCTTTTTAGCATGATGGAGAAACAGACATAGAACTCTAAGAAGACTTCTAAATAGCTTTTGTAGTCTTGCAGCTTAGTTTTACATGTTGAAATTTTTATAGTTTTTAAGATAAATTTGTTGGTAAATGATTTTAATGTTTTTATAATTCACATTTGGAAAATATAAGCACATAAGATCTAGAAATCCTTATTAATGTAGTGACTAATAAAGTGAGTGTAGAATTCATAGCACTTACTAAAAATAAACTTTAGATAGATACACATTTAACGCATACGGTAGCAGTGAAAGAATTTCCCATGCTTTAATAAGATATGCTTTACGTTAATTGTATTCCTTTATATCTTACCGGTTTTATGTGCATTTTATACATTTAAGTGTATTAAAGAGTGGAATCTCTAATTTGTTATATTTTTCTATGGAAATTACTGGTGATTTACATGTAGATTGTTTGAAAACTTTAAGTATATGTGTTGATATATGTGCACTTTATCTTTCTATGGAATCACCTCATTTTGGTCAACTATGTAATTTAGTTGTCTGCTGAGTACTGTGTGATATATAAATTTAAAAATTTTCGAAATCCAAAATTAGAGTTTGGAAGTGTGTGGTTTCAAAATAGAGGTAGTTAGAGGACAATGGGCAAGAGAATGATATTTAAACTATTTCCTAGTTATAATATCTTGCCATTTTAATCCATTATCCTCCAACACTATAGTCTGTGACTTTCCTTACTTAAGTCTAGGTGGGTGCCACTTGAAATCCTTTTCCCTTTACGGTTGCTTTTCAGCTAATGATGGGGTTACATCCTGATAAACCCACTGTAAGTGAAAAACACAAGTTGAAAACCCATTTGATACCCCAGCAAACCCACAGTAAAGTTGAAAAGTTTAAGTTGAACCATTGTAAGTCTTGGACCATCTGTATTACACACGCACGAAAAGGAAAAGAGCAACATGGGAGAATCAGCCCTGAAGGGGGAGTATCAGTGACTGGAGTGAGGAAAATCAAATTTTAGAGTATGCTTTCCACTGTTCATTTATAGTAGTAACAACCTAAGTGTGGTGGTTTCTGTTCCCTTATTGATTTTTAAGGAATGTCTAAGATGTAGGTTTATTCCTGAATAGAGATCCATTGTTTTTAAACAAACATGTCTTTTTTAAAATTTAAAAATAAATATTTGATTTGAATGTAAAAATTAGTTCTTTGAATTTGTGGCAGAAACTCCACAAGTTCAATTTATTTTTAATAGAAACGGGAAGCAAGTAGATATAGAGTTCTCAGAAAGATTACAAGACCCAGAAGATTGTGTCTGCGTGTTTTTATTCTCGGCAAATGGAACATCATCACAATTTCTTTTTTTTCTTTTCCCTCTCCTTCCATTCCCCTTGCCCTTCCCTTTCCCCTTTCCCCTTTCCATTTCCCTTTCTCTGTCTCTTCCCCACTCCCCTCCCCTCCCCCTCCTCCTCCCTCCCCTCCTCCTCCCATTCCCTTCCCTCCCCCCTTCCTCTCCCCTCCCCTCCCCTCCCCTCCCCTCCCCCCCTCCCTCCCTCCCTCCCTCCCTCCCTCCCTTTCTCTCCCTCTCTCTTTGTCTGTCTTCTTTTCTTTCTCTTTTTCTTGCTCTATTGCCCAGACTGGAGTGTAGTGGTGCAATCTCAGTTCACTGCAGCCTCCACCTCCAGGGTTCAAGTGACTCTCATGCCTCAGCCTCCTAGGTAGCTGGGATTCCAAGTGTGTGCTACCATGCCCGGCTAATTTTTGTATTTTTAGTAGAGACTGGATTTCACCATGTTGTCCAGGTTGGTCTTAAAACTCAAGTGATGAGCCCTCCTCAGCCTCCCAAAGTGCTGGGATTGCAGGCATGAGCCACCGTGCCTGGCCCAGCATCACATTTCAGCTTTCCCTTTAACTTTTGAGAAACCTGCCGTGTTTTCATGTATTTTACTCACAAATACTTAAATCTGTTTCTTTCATCTCTTTATTCTGTAGTTTATTTTTACCTTTTCTTTTCCTGTTATTAGAATTTCCTACTATTAGGCTCACATGCAAATGCCTGCCAGGAACACATTCAGATCTCCGACAAAAAATGCAGTGACGTAAAAAAGGATAGAAAGTCAGGGAAAGGGAGAAAGGCAGTAGACAAAGAAACCAAGCGTATTCAATGTCTGACATGTGCGAACTGCTTAGTGAGATCACTTTTCTGATTTTCATTGGACAGTTGGATGGTTTGGGGGCAGAGGGGTGTCCCTGAAATTAGATAAACATTAAAAAAATGTTTATCTTAATGGCTGAATTTAGACCAAGTTTTCCAGTGGTACCTATGGTTTTTAAAGGAGTTATCCATATTCATGGGTATTTGCTTGAACTTTTCTTGTTCTTAGGGAACAAGATGATTCCAAGTTAGCCATTCTAAGTTAATTATTAGCATATGATTTTATTATAAGGATATATTAGAAGCAGTGAGCTTAACAGCATAAGCAAGGATTTTTAATATATTGTAGTTTAAGAAAAATTGAAAAACGAAAATAAATTTTGGCATTTTTTAGGATGATTTTAAAGGGTTTTCTTAATAATTTCCATGTATGACTAAACTTCTTGGGAGAATAACTGCTACTTTTCTTATGAGTTATCTCTTAGCAGCACCTCTCATCAAATCTAGTTGAATAGATTGTTTTCTCTCTGGTTTCAAGTTCTCTTAATGCTATTTTCTCTTCTCAGTGAGATAACTGGGCCATATTTTCTCTGTCAGAATAATTGAAATATATGATGTTATTCATTAGAAAATATAATGGGCTTCCTTATAGAAAATAAAATGGGCTTCCTTAGCAGATCATTCCAGGGTATTACTATCCTAATTTTATTTGACAAGTAAAATTCTGTTCATTATTTTATTGCCTTTAAAAAGCTCTCCAAAGTGTGCAAGTTCTTAGAAGAATTGAAGAGGTATTCAGGATTCTCTTTTCTTTCCTGTTTTCTCTCTCTTTTGTTTCTGCCAGTGCTGGGGATTGTAGTATGAATATGAACCAGAGGCTGGAGGGTGGGCCTGAGGCCTGAGAGGAACCATTTCAAGGGAGGCAGGTGGGGAAGGAAGGGAGAAGGGGTTTTAGAAGTCACCTAAGATACAAGTCATTTATTATATCCATAAATTACATTTGTGTGGATTGGGATTTACTGTCGCTCCATGGCCTTTCATATATACATGGACTATGTTTACTCAGTATTTTACAAAAAGCTGCTTTACAAATCCTTATCTGAATTGTATACCCTCTTCCACAAATCTGGTGGGAGTAGCGTTGTATAGGAGAGCACAGGTTTTAGAGCAGTGTTTCTCAAAGTGGGTTTATGAAACTCCTGCCTCAAAATGTCTGGTGTTTTTGCTTAAAGTGCAGGTTTTTGAGCTCCACTATAGATTTGTTGAGTCAGAATTTCTGGGTTTGAAGCAGGGGAAGCTGAAGGTTTAAATAATGTTCCTGGGTGATACCTTATGCACGCTAAAGTTTGAGAAACCACACTGCTTTGGAATCACACTAATAAATGGTTTGAGTCTTTGAATACAATGTGAATGGTGTCTTGTAGCTTTACCAGTACTCTGTTAACAGGAATTAGCTGTATGACAGACAAACTAAGTAAAATGTTTCTGTACCACTACTTCTGTGATTGTCAGTAGTATTTCTGACAATACTGATTGTCATAGTGTTTCTGAAAGACTGCAAGGTTCCACATGCCCTTTGAATCATTGGAGAAAGACTGAATCATGTTCAACATCATATTTAATGCTGAGCAGATTTTATGACATTTTATTCACAGCCTTAAAAATGTATAATTTAAATACAGACTGCATGCTTAACAGTCTACAGTTAGAAATAATGATTAGCTATGGGTACCTTATTTCCTGAATAGACCACATAAGAAAAGCTAAAATATATGTTAAACATTTGTGATACCTCTGATTCTTTCATCCACTTTAGTGAGGTGTTATAAGATAATACTGTTATCGCAGTCATTGTTTCCCTGTACTTGTGAATGATTTATCATTGATCTAAGTGTTAGAATTTGGCTTCTAAATTTCTAGTGAAAATTTTTGTTTTGAACCTTTTGATTTGTGTTAAGAATTTGCTTATTTTTTCTGCTGACTTTGGATTCCTCCATTGAGGCCGTCTTTCAACACTTACTGAGTACTTACTATGGTTTTGGTAACAGTCTCTGTCTCAAAGCCAGGAAAGACTGAATATGCCGTGATTCCAGAATCATGGGTAGGAATGGAGAAAGGGAAGAAACAGCAAAGAGCTGTAAGCCAGTAGTAAGTGTGCCAGTAAACAGGGTCTAGAGCACAGCAGTTGGGTTTAGAAGAATTACACACACTTGGCTAGAATGTATTATAGTGAAGATCTCAGCCTGTATTCCCTAATGCCCTGAGCCTATTTCCTTGTCTCTTAGGCGGGGGTAGAGCCCCTATACGTAGGGTAGACAGGAGTAGTAAATGAGAAAAATGTGTGAAATAGTACCTGCCCCAGTAAGCACTCATTAAGTGATAGCTATATTATAAAGTATTATTCAAACAGAAAAAGTAGTGTGAGAACTTAAAAGTACATACATGGACTATACATAATTTTTATATGTATTTGTCAGCTATATGCAAACGGAATATTAATTAGAAATTATGTGAGAAAACAGGTTCACATGTGTAATGCTGGTTGGAGAGTGATTCATTTCATTTACGATTTCAGGTACCAAAGCAGTCAGACTCACAGCCTAATTCTGATAACCTAAGTCGCCATGGTGAATGTGGGAAGAAGCAAGTGTCTTACAGAACTGATATTGTTGGTGGCGTACCCATCATTACTCCCACTCAGGTAAGATAGTAACTCTTCTACTGTGTGAGGATCTAATTATTGTATATTGATTTTTGTATTATTAAAATTAAAACATTGCGTCTTTGCTGAATTAGTACAATACTGAATTACTATAAAGTATTTTCGTTTATTTCAGAAGTATTATGAAATATTTGGAAGTCGCATAACATTGAACACTTTTCCTGTTTTCTCTGAGCCTTTCTTCGGTGTACTTTTCTCCTCAGAAGTGGAGAGATGAGTTCTATATTACACTTTGTAAACAGATTTCTTTTCACTTAAATCGTGAGCATTTTCCAAGTCATCAAAAATCCTTTTATATCATTTTTAATGACTGCATAGTAGTTTGGATTTACCATAAATTATAAATCCTTTATTGGACAAATAGAGTTCTTTTCCTTTTTGCTGCTTTTTTTTTTTCACTTTTTGCATTTCTTCTTTTTTATTTTTATTTTATTTTTTTTATTGCATTTTAGGTTTTGGGGTACATGTGAAGAACATGCAAGATTGTTGCATAGGTACACACGTGGCAGTGTGATTTGCTGCCTTCCTCCCCTTCACCTGTGTCTGGCATTTCTCCCCATGCTCTCTCTCCTCAACTCCCCACCCCTTACTGTTCTTCCCCTATTCCCCCCAACAAACCCCAGTGTGTAGTGCTCCCCTCCCTGTGTCCATGTGTTCTCATTGTTCAACACCCGCCTATGAGTGAGAACATGCGGTATTCCATTTTCTGTTCTTGTGTCAGTTTGCTGAGAATGATGTTCTCCAGGTTCATCCATGTCCCTACAAACGATACGAACTCATTGTTTTTCATGGCTGCATAATATTCCATGGTGTATATGTGCCACATTTTCCCTGTCCAGTCTATCATTGATGGGCATTTGGGTTGGTTCCAGGTCTTTGCTATTGTAAACAGTGCTGCAATGAACATTCGTGTGCATGTGTCCTTACAGTAGAATGATTTATAATCCTTTGGATATATACCCAGTAATGGGATTATATATTGCTGGGTTAAATGGAATTATATATTATAATTGCTGGGTCAAATGGAATTTCTATTTCTAGGTCCTTGAGGAATCACCACACTGTCTACCACAATGGTTGAACTAATTTACACTCCCACCAGCAGTGTAAAAGTGTTCCTATTTCTCCACATCCTCTCCAGCATCTGCTGTCTCCAGATTTTTTAATGATCGCCATTCTAACTGGTGTGAGATGGTATCTCAATGTAGTTTTTATTTGCATTTCTCTAATAACCAGTGATGATTAGCATTTTTTCATATGTTTGTTGGCCTCATGTATGTCTTTTTTTATAAAGTGTCTGTTCATATCCTTTGCCCACTTTTGAATGGGCTTTTTTGTTTTGTTTTTGTAAATCTGTTTTAGTTCTTTGTAAATTCTGGATATCAGCCCTTTGTCAAATGGGTAAACTGCAAACATTTTTTCCCATTCTGTTGGTTGCCGCTTCACTCTAGTGACTTTCTTTTGCTGTGCAGAAGCTGTGGAGTTTGATTAGGTCCCATTTGTCCATTTTGGCTTTTGTTGCCAATGCTTTTGGTGTTTTGTTCATGAAGTCCTTGCCTACTCCTATGTCCTGGATGGTTTTGCCTATATTTTCTTCTAGGGTTTTTATGGTGTTAGGTCTTATGTTTAAGTCTTAAGCCATCTGGAGTTAATTTTAGTGTAAGGTGTCAGGAAGGGGTCCAGTTTCTGCTTTCTGCACACTGCTAGCCAGTTTTCCCAACACCATTTATTAAACAGGGAATCCTTTCCCCATTGCTTGTTTTTGTCAGGTTTGTCAGAGATTGGATGGTTGTAGGTATGTTGTGTTGCCTCCGAGGCCTGTGTTCTGTTCCATTGGTCTATATCTCTGTTTTGGTACCAGTACCATGCTGTTTTGATTACTGTAGCCTTATAGTATAGTTTGAAGTCCAGTAGTGTGATGCCTCCCGCTGTGTTCTTTTTGCTTAGAATTGACTTGGCTATGTGGGCTCTCTTTTGGTTCCATATGAAGTTCCAGGTGTTTTTTTCCAGTTCTGTGAAGAAGGTCATTGGTAGCTTGATGGGGATAGCGTTGAATCTGTAAGTTACTTTGAACAGTATGGCCATTTTCATGATATTGATTCTTCCTAACCATGAACATGGAATGTTTCTCCATCTGTTTGTGTCCTCTCTTATTTCATTGAGCAGTGGTTTGTAGTTCTCCTTGAAGAGGCCCCTTATGTTCCTTGTTAGCTGTATTCCTAGGTATTTTATTCTTTTTGTAGCAATTGTGAATGGCAGTTCATTCTTGATTTGGCTCTCTTTAAGTCTGTTATTGGTGTATAGGAATGCTTGTGATTTTTGCACATTGATTTTTGTATCCTGAGACTGCTGAAGTTGCTTATCAGTTTCAGGAGATTTTGGGCTGAGACGATGGGGTCTTCTAGATACACAATCATGTCATCTGCAAATAGAGACAATTTGGCTTCCTCTTTTCCTATTTGAATACCCTTTATTTCTTTTTCTTGCCTGATTGCTCTGGCTAGAACTTCCAGTACTATGTTGAATAGAAGTGGTGAGAGAGAGCATCCTTGTCTAGTGCCAGATTTCAAAGGGAATGCTTCCAGTTTTTGCCCATTCAGTATGATATTGGCCGTTGGTCTGTCGTAAATAGCTTTTATTATTTTGAGATACGTTCCGTCAATACCTAGTTTATTGAGAGTTTTAAATTTAATATAAAGGGCTGTTGAATTTTGTCAAAGGCCTTCTCTGCATCAGTTGAGATAATTATGTGGTTTTTGTCTTTGGTTCTGTTTATGTGGTCAATTAGATTTATAGACATGCGTATGTTGAACCAGCCTTGCATCCCCAGGATGATTCCTACTTGATCATGGTGGATAAGCTTTTTGATGTGCTGTTACAATTGGCTTGCCAGTACTTTATTGAAGATTTTTGCGTCTATGTTCATCATGGGTATTGGCCTGAGGTTTTCTTTTCTTGTTGAGTCTCTGTCAGGTTTTGGTATCAGGATGATGTTGGTCTCATAAAATGATTTGGGAAGGATTCCCTCTTTTTGGATTATTTGAAATAATTTCAGAAGGGCTCTTCTTTGTATGTCTGGTAGAATTTGGCTGTGAACCCATCTGGACCTGGGATTTTTTTGTGTGGTAAGCTCTTAATTGCTACCTCAACTTCAGATCTTGTTATTGGTCTATTGAGGGTTTCGACTTCTTCCTGGTTTAGGCTTGGGAGGAGGCAAGTATCCAGGAATTTATCCATTTCTTCCAGGTTTATTAGTTTATGTGCACAGAGTTCTTTGTAATAATCTCTGATGATGGTTTGAATTCATGTGGAATCTGTGGTGATATCCCCTTTATTGTTTTTTATTGCATCTATTTGGTTATTCTCTCTTTTCTTTTTTATTAATCTGGCTAGTGGTCTATTTTGTTGATCTTTTCAAAAAACCAGCTCCTGGATTTGTTGATTTTTTGAAGGGTTTTTCTATCTCCTTCAGTTCTGCTCTGATCTTAGTTACTTCTTATCTTCTACTGGTTTTGAGGTTTTTTGATCTTGCTCCTCTAGCTGTTTCAATTTTGATGATAAGGTATCAATTTTGGAACTCTCGTTGCTTCTCATGTGGGCACTTATTGCTATATATTTTCCTCTAGAGACTACTTTAAATGTGTCCCAGAGATTCTGGGATGTTGTGTCTTCGTTCTCATTGGTTTCGAAGAACATCTTTATTTCTGCCTTCATTTCATTGTTTATCCAGTCAATATTCAAGAGCCAGTTGTTCAGTTTCCATGAAGCTGTGCGGTTCTGAGTTAGTTTCTGAATTCTGAGTTATAACTTGATTGCACTGTGGTCTGAGAGACTGTTTGTTATGATTTCTGTTCTTTTGCATTTGCTGAGGAGTGATTTACTTCCAATTATGTGGTCAATTTTAGAGTGGGTGTGATGTGTTATATTCTGTGGACTTGGGGTGGAGAGTTCTGTAAATGTCTATCAGGTTTGCTTGTTCCAGGTCTGAGTTCAAGCCCTGGATATCCTTGTTACTTTTCTGTCTGGTTGATCTGTCTAATACTGACAATGGGGTGTTAAAGTCTCCCACTATTATCGTGTGGGAGTCTAAGTCTTTTTGTAAGTCATTAAGAACTTGCCTTATGTATCTGCATGCTCCTATATTGGGTGCGTATATATTTAGGATTGTTAGGTCTTCTTGTTGCATCGATCCTTTTAGCATTATGTAATGTCCGTCTTTGTGTCTTTTGATCTTTGTTGCTTTAAAGGCTATTTTATTCAGAGATAAGAATTGCAACTCCTGCTGTTTTTTGCTCTCCATTTGCTTGGTAAATCTTCCTCCATCCCTTTATTTTGAGCTTTGTGTATCCTTGCATGTGAGATGGGTTTCCTGGATACAGCATACCGATGGGTTTTGGCTTTTTATCCAATTTGCCAGTCTGTGTCTTTTGGTTGGGGCATTTAGTCTATTTACATTTATGATTAATATTGTTATGTGTGAATTTGATACTGCCATTTTGATGCTAGCTGGCTGTTTTGCCCGTTAGTTGATGCAGATTCTTCATTTTGTTGATGCTCTTTAGCATTTGGTATGTTTTTGGAATGGCTAGTACTGGTTGTTCCTTTCTATATGTAGTGCCTCTTTCAGGAGCTCTTGTAAAGCAGGCCTGGTGGAGACAAAATTTCTGAGTACTTGCTTGTTTGCAAAGGATTTTACTTTTCCTTCACTTATGAAGCTGAGTTTGGCTGGATTTGAAATTCTGGGTTGAAAGTTCTTTTCTTTAGGGATGTTGAATATTGGCCTCCACTCTCTTCTGGCTTGTAGGGTTTCTGCTGAGAGATCTTTTGTGAGTCTGATGGGCTTCCCTTTGTGGGTAACCCGACCTTTCTCTCTGGCTGCCCTTAGCATTTTCTCTTTCATTTCAACCCCGGTGAATCTGACAATTATGTGCCTTGGGGTTGCTCTTCTTGCGGAATATCTTTGTGGTGGTCTTTGTATT